TATTGATCATGTCAGAAGCAAACTGAGAATACAGTTATAATGTATAGAAAAACCACAAACAAAGTTTGAAATTAGGCATACTAAATTTCCTTTGACCAGAAGCCAGCCACTTCAAGTGCCTCTGGTGTCACTGTAAGAAGGTCCTCCATTGTGTATGTGGCAGGGCTCAAACCGCATTATAGTAAGTGGTCTGTGGTTTGCTCTTCTCCACACTAGCATGTCGTAGACTCCTTTGTAGCCCCATTTCTTAAGATTGGTCTGCATCTCATGGTGTCAGAGCGCAGTTTGTTCAGTGCTTTCCAAGTCACCCAGTATTCTGTGTGCCCAGGAGGGAGTCTCTCATCTGATATCAGCCACTGATTGTGGTTCTGGGTTTTAGCTTTCCACTTTTGGACTCTAACTTGCTGAGGTGTTCCTGTGAGTATCTCTGTATATCTTAGGAAGCTGTCTCTTTATTTAAGTCATTGGCTTGCTGGTTGATATCTGAATAGAGGAAGGCCGGAGATGTCAATGCCTTGGTCCTTTTATTTTAGGCTGCTACTTCCCGACAGATGTCAAGTGAATACCAGCTAAACAGTATAATTTCTCCAGTGGTGTAGGGCATAGACATCCTGTGATAATGTGGCATATGGAATCCTGAGAGGTGTAGTCTAGTGAGGCAGCAGCACTATTTGACTATTCTCATAGCACAAAATTAGGTCAGTTAAAGTGATGTCAAACAGTTTTAATTTTATAGTGTAGATGCACTCAAAATTCCAGTGTTACTATTTCAAGACTTTTTTTAACCAGGCTTCTTGTTCTAAACCCCCCCCCCCAAAAAAAAAAAAAAAGCCTTTATATGCTTGGTACCTCACAGATGATACACAGTTTGCTTAATTTAGAAATATGAAGGAATTGTTAAGTTTCAGTTCTCTAAAGCATTCAGTTTCAGCACATTTGTAAATAAATGTAATCAATGATGTTACTCCATTCAAGCTTCTTCATGTTCTTCTGGTGGAGCTGTTGACCATTACTGAGAACACATTACCTCAATTTCTCTGAAAACTGGAGTAATATATTTTGTTAATCAGCTGCTCAGTGTGAAGTGAATGAAAAATAGCAACTCTTGCAGAAAGACACTTCAGCTGCATTATTATTTTTCTTTAGGCTCCCATATTCAAATAATAAGATGCCAGCAAGGTGAGGGGAAATAATATTACATAATTAATGCAAGTTAAACACTGGCTTTTTCTATTACGACTATCCTGTTGAGATTTAATTATAAGTCCCCACAAAATCCTTTTTATTTGTATCAACAGAAATGAATTTTAATTAAAGTTTGTACAGTAGTTGAACCTGAGCTGCCTTAGCACAATTACTTAGTGATTTGATAAATATGTGCAATTACAGCATTCTATTGATATTAGGATTCTTAAATTGTTTGCATGCACTTTTGTTGTGGAGTTTTGTTTGAAATGATTGCTTAGAACAAAAGCTAGTCTATGGTTAAACACAGCCTAGCATTATTTGCTGAGCTGGTATTAGGTGATTCTTTTACAGGGTGCCCCACTCCCAATCTACCCTGAAAGACCTAATTACTTAAGCACCTGTGCAATTGAGAAATCAGGACTCTCAAATCATGAATTATATGAAATTATATAAAATAATAACCTGTGGTTAGAATCGTAGAATAATACATTTGGAAGATACCACATGAGGCATGAAATCACAGAATACCTGGATCAAACTTTCCACTTGAATTCAGTTGATGTAGCATGGAGTTCACTACTTATGTTTGCACTACTTTGACTTTTTTGTAATGATGGTTTGCCTAATGTAGACATTGCTTCATTTTACAGGGCATTGACTTGTGTAACTCCTATTGGATAGTTAAAAAAGTTAAAAAAGAATTGGTGTATGAACGCTATCATGGTTCAACTTCATTATTGTTAAAGTTTACAAGCCTCCCCACCCCAGAATCTACTTATAGGCAAACTTGATTTAATCAAGCTTCTGACAAGGAAGCTCCTTTTAAATTCTTGTTACAACTACAAAATCCTCCTTTCCTCCCCATCTTCTTTATCTCTTTCTATGTTAGAAATGTAGACTTTAAGTATTGAGTTGTTGCAGCATATCGGTAGTAAACAATGTAATAAAAGCTTGAGCTGGGAAACAATAGGATCCTATTCTACTATATGCCTGACTACAACAGGCAAGTTAAATTTCAGCTACCTCCACAATCACCTGCTGAGCTTGCCTGAACAGCAAAACAGAAAAGGGAAAGAGTACCCCAAAGAGCTGTGATAGCATGTATGTCGATGTCCCCCAATGTTTCAAGCTGAGGAGACTTCAACTTCCAGGTAACTTCCTCTAGCTTAGAAAGGGAAATTATTAACCAGTGAGGTGACACTATACCAAAAGAATCCCTAAGTCATCCTGGCCACCCAGCTTCAGAACGCACACAGATACCAAGAAATAGGCTGGTGGTTACTACTGTGGCTTGTAAATCACTGCAACTCCACACATATATACATACACTGGACTCACTTGGAGATGCTCACAGAACCTAGTAGAACCTTAGTAGACAAAACTGACAGAGATTTATCCCCTCTCCTTACCTCATCTAGCAGGGTCTTTGTGATACATATCAGGTAGGTGCATGCCTGCAAGATCAAGTGCCAAAATGGTAGTGGTTTTCCATTGATTGACCTGACTTTTAGCAGCACCATTTTCAATTCTGGGGCTGTTGCGAAAGCTATCCAGGTTGAATGTGGCTGGATTATACATAACAAAAAAAGGCTATAGCTGGTAGACTAGTAAAAGTTAATCCCAATCACAAAAAATATATCAAGAATATAAGGAGGATAGGAGTAGAGTGTAGTTGAGAAGTATCTAATTGGCTTTGAGATTTAAATTCTGCATTAATTTCAAGCATTAAAAAAGGATCCTAATACCAGATTACCAGATTTTTTTATTTATTTACATCAGACTGTGGATTTATAAAGCGCTTTCACAAACAGAGCAGACTTCATTATTTCATTCATAGCTTCCATTGCAAACATAATTGAAAGAATAGGTCTAACACATTTTAAATCACATTTATTCCTAGTAGTGCAACACCAAACAGTATTGTTGGTATGTACCTTCACTGGGTCCACTTAAGAATGTTAAATTTGGGGGCGGGGGATGACACATCTTTCTAGTCACAAAAAACTAACATTGTTTCTACTACTGATTGTTATGTAGAAAAATTGGAATTAAGTACAATTTTATAAAATTGAAACTGTAGCTATAATCTTATAAAAAATAATGTGATATCCTACATATTCCCAGAAACTGTTATTGAAACTGCCCATCCCAGAATTCCATACAACACAGTGGTAAACACATGTGAAGACAGTTCACCAACAAGTGGTTTATAAGTTAATATAAGATTTGTTTTTTAGCATTTTTCTGGGGAAAGAAGAAAATTATTTGGCACCACCTCCATCTCCAAGACCCACAGTACAGTGTACTCCCAGTCCAAATGCTTTGTCGTTTATAGGGAAAGGCAACATATCCAGCCTGGCAAGATCTGCACCTAGAAAACCCTTCTCTCTGTATTTTCTGCTGAATGCTAAACATAGAAAAAATATACTACACTGTAATGGCCCGAAACTTTGCGAAAGGGTATCAGTACCTGAATGAGAGATTTGAAATTCTGAGTTTCACAAATCACTCCTGAGATTATATATACAGTCTGGATACAACCTAACTTGCCTTTTATCATTACATTTATTGGCATGCTAAAACATTTGTCACCCAGGACAGCTGGCAAGAATTATTCTACATTTCTCCTATGCATAAATATTCAGAAATCATCATTTACATTGCACTTAATGAAAAGGCATTTATATTAAATATCCAGTAAAGATTTAACATTCTTTGAATTTTCTGTTCTCAATATTATTCCCTAAATTACACATTCTGTAAAAGTGCAGCAATTTCACACAAGACAAACACAGCAAAATTTAGAGCAAGAATGTTCCCTTTAGCTCCTAGTGCATACTGCTCTCATTCAGAACATTCATGCGCTGAAATCCCAAATTAGGTGAATTCACGCTTTAAAAGGTGTCACCATGCCCTTTCATTATACAAAATAATTGGCAAAATAATTATATGAATAACATTTTGTAATAGGGATTAGACTATGACATTCATTCCCCAAGACAACCATTTTCTGTAACCGTTTCGTGATTATATGACAGCAGTCCTGAGGCATCTTCAAGTACATGACAAACTGTATTCAAGAAGCTTTAATTTCTACTCACTTTAGTGTTATATGCATAGCTAGTACTTGTTCCACTTATAGTATTTCCAGTAAAAGAAAATAGCAACATGGAAATCATTTGGTACATGTCTAGCAACATGGAAATCATTTGGTACATTTCCTGGGGGGAATTCCAGGGAGACATCTGATGAAAGCCCATCAAAAGTAACATCTGGAGAGGGAAGATGCACTTTTTTGCCTCCTTGTTTCCCCTTTCATAACTTTCTCTATTCTTTTACTGTACTTCATACAAAAAACAGCAAATGGTTGAGGAAGCAAAACCAAAAACCAAAAAAGGCAAAAGGGATTAAACTACGAACCAGCACAAAGAGAGCGTGAGATATTTTGTGTCTAAGAATGTGGGTAACAACAAAAGGAGAGAGGAGGACAGTGAGAGTTGGCAGTGATGTTTTCTTTCAGACCCTCCCCACCAAGAATATAAGGATATGTCATGTTGAAAGTACTTTTATCCCAAATACCGCTGCCTGTTATTCCATCTCATTAAGATTCCAAAAACAACATTTGGAGCAGACCTTTAAACTGAATTAAACAGATGGCAAAGTGTCCCATTAAGTTTCCCATAACTAGCTTCTCTACAACTGGGAAACAGAAAAATTAATTCTGGACAATCCTAACCAAGAGAGAAAATATGGGAAATGAATCTATCAGGTCTTAACTCATGCCTTCACATTGTGGTTTCCTATTTCTACTGTTTTCTGTTAATTTGCTATTATAGTACCTGCAATGCATGGCTGCTAGGTTCTTTGACTTGCCAAAATATGTGGAAGATTATATATTTAATATAAATGTGCTTTTGGAAAATACAAACAATCATATTTAACCTAGAAGCTTGTGGCACTTAACAGTATTTGGAGTCCTTTGGATTGATAAATAATGCACATGAACAGAAGAGTAAAATAAATCATTATAGGTTTTTGTTTTTTAAAAGCACCGTTGAAGACATCAGTATTGAATGAAGATCATGATACAAACCATTGTTGTTCCCTTCATCTCCTTCAAGAGCTTGGCAGGACAATTATATGGGCAATTTCCTACGAAGTGGAGAAAACCACTATGACTTCACAGATGTGTACTCAATGCCAGGCTCTTGAACTATAATGATTTTCAAAAAGTACAACTTTTCCTATTGGCAATTTTCTATGTCAAACAAGTGATCACAGATGAGGAAGCTAACCAAGGCTTCTATCCCATTACACAATTAAGCAGGGAACAGGTAGCAGCAATATTTTGTGTGTTCCTTATTCAAGTGTCCCCTAAATGTCCAAATGATTTTGACAGTGGTCAAGTCAAAACAATGACATCACATTGGAAGGGAGTCCCCAATGCTCTTCAGCTGTTGCAATTTCCTGGAGATCTATTAATGCGCCTCATTTACAGTAACCTTGAAGAGAAGAGCATAACAGTAGTTAATTACATAGTTCAAAACATGGCATTTAATGCACTGCATTTATTCCTTTTTGTGGAAAGCTTTAGCTAAAATTCTGTTACCTGACAAATTTTGACCATCCTAATGAGAGCATAAGTTACAATCACTACCAAAACATGCAATGTTCTCACTTAAGAGAATCACATTATAATTGTCCTTGCAAAAGCTGGACCAGTAATCAATTTCCTTGTAGGCACAGTACAAACTGACACTGATGAGCTTTGATTATTTTTTCCCAGATATGGAAAAAGCATGATTAATAGAGAAAGGTGCTTGTCAGTGAACACACCAAAACTAGAGTTGATTGTATGGTGAAAATGTCTCTGAGTATTTCCTGCACAGATTTTTAATCCCTTAGAGTACCAGACTATTTTTATCACACTGTGATTGCTTTATAAGATTGTATTTTATTAAGTTTTATCATTGCTTTTAATCATTATTTGCTTCTCACAAAGGACTATAAGTACTAGGAGAATAGGATGTATACTTTATTTTAAAATCAAATAATTACTTGAAAGGGCATTGCAGAAACAACATGGAATAAGAGTTTTTACTGAGCATGGAAAACTGCCCAGAGTTTGGAAATTGTCCAGTATTTCCATTCCAGTGACAAAAAGTTGTTTTTACAGGCCAAAACAGTGGTTCTCAATCTGTGGGTCTCCAGGTGTGTTGGCCTACAACTCTCAGAAATCCCAGCCAGTTTACCAGCTATTAGGATTTCGGGGAGTTAAAGGCCAAAATATCTGGGGATCCACAGGTTGAGAACCACTAGGCTAGGGGGAATGGGGTAGCAGTTAACCTGAAAGTTCTCTTTATTATGTTATGCACAACAACCATGGTTTGTTGTGCATAGAACAATTAGGCCTTAGATTTGGAGAATGCATCCTCATTTGGTTGCACTGGAAAATTTAATGGGTGGATCTCATGGATGAGGAAGGGGACAAAATCTTATGAGAGCTTCTCTTTGCAAAAGCCTCATCAGAATGAATCAGCTTAATTATGGCAAGCAGAATCTGGACAGAAAACTGGCACTGCTACCAAATGAAACAGATAAAGGTGAGGTGCACCAAGTGCTTAAGTGTTCTGTAGGCTTGCTGTCTCATGAGACAGAAAAATCACAAATTTGTAGAATGTTTATAAAAGCGCCTAATTCTCAGTTCTATTTGGCTTACTACTTTGAAGAAACTAGATCTCATCCAAATGTCTTAGACTGCGCATTGTATAAAGATATGAAAGCTCAGAAAAACAGAAGAAAATCTGATAAATTAAAATAAAAGTGTTTCCACTCATAAGAAATTTTGAAAAAAGGGGTTATGGAATATTTTCTCTATATACTCATGTATTTATTTCCTTAAAATGCACGAGTAAGATTTGTATCCAAGAGTATGTATAGTTCCTTATTACTGCAATTCCTGGTCTTGGTTTCATTTTCAAAGTTTATTTTGATGAAAACAAGTATTTGTTTGATACAATGGATTACTACATTTCCTTATCAAAAGTATCAAAAGTAAACAAAAAGCCATAAGAAGCCGATTCCCATTCACATCTACTTTTCTAGGCTTTCCTGACTATTTGACCAAATATTTTTATTTTTTTTACCATAGGAAACTGGCAATTTACAAGTCTGCAATGTAAAAAAAATTACAGTGAAGAGAACTGCCTGCTTTTTAAAGCAAAGCAACAAACAAGATTATATATTTATTATAGAGCTAAAATAAATCCCACTTTACATATCATCCATACTAGTGGTAGTTTAGGGCACCACATTAGCCCTCTTGGAGATCTGAATGTGCTCCCAGAAAGTAATGATAATGACATTCCCAAATGCCTCTGGTTTTCTGGGGATATTTTGACCAATTTGGGTTGAAGAGGAAAGATTTCCTTGAGACTAAATATACAATTTTAATAACAGTTCAGTTCTCACAATATGCAGATAAAAGTCCTGGTTTGAAATATGGTTTCAGATAGTTAAGCGGTACAGTTTGTGGCACAGATTCTACTGAAATTGATTGTATTTTATTCAATACAGTGCTTTAGAACTAACAGTTATTATTGTTTCTTTAAACAAGAAAATACTGAATGTCAGGCATACCTCATTTAACAAAGCTTCTGGCAAAGAAGCTCCCCGTTATACATTTTTAATGCCTGCCCAGCTTCTAAAGCCTTTCTTTAGCAGCATTAGCACTTGGATGATGGTGAAGGAGGGACGAAGAAACACACACTCTCGGTGTGTTTCAACATTAGGTCTCAAGCAATGTAACAAGCCTTGAGATTGGAAAATTGATCCTACTTGTTGCCATGAGTGCTTGCCTAAAACATGCAAGGTAAAACAGCAGCTGCTTCAGAATTGCTTATAAAACAAAGGGATAGGGCAAGAGCAGATAAACCTCTCTCCAGCTCCTCCACCACCAGTATGTTAAAAAAGCATGGATATACACATTTATCCACCAAATAGAAATTATAAGAAAAGTGGAGGTTAGTGAAAGACGGATGCATTTTGGAGGAGCTTTCAAATGGTCTGCAGAAGGTTCAAAATAATTGTTTACATATGCAAGGCTCACCTGAATTGCCTGTTTGATTTCACATGTGCATTTTAATTTTGGATAAACAATTAGCTGAACATGTTGAATAGCTTTCCTCTTTTGTGGTGCAGAAATCTATCCCTATTCTTTGCATGTCATTTCTGTCTCCAGTACCAACACATCTACTTTGTTAATTGAGGTGTACCTGTACTTTTTTTTACAATTTCTAAGCAGTATACTACCAGTTTAATTAATAATCAACTAACCTGAGATGTACCTTGCTCCGATTAACATTAACAGGCTACTCATTATAAAAAAGCCCAAAGGTAGACTACAGAAGATACTAGTTTCACCTGTTGTCATCCAGCAGAAGAGGTTCCAGTCAAGCAAATCAAAAGAGAGATAGATATAAATTACACTATTTAAGAATCACATAAATAAAATTATATGAAAGCAGATCATTCAGTTTACCATAATAATTACAGATGGGCCAAGCTTTGATTGTTCAGATATACTGCAATTTTGCAACTATTGTCAATACTGAGGCTTATTAAGGCAATGTCAATTTTAAATTAATACAGCAGATAATGTATAATTCCAAAACAAAGCTGATATTAAATAAGTAAAATATTCTTTAGAGTTGCAGATGCATACCGGTCTTCACCATAGGAACTAAAAGATTTACAGAATTTATATCCCGCCTTTTTGCACAAGACCCAAGGTGGCACTTATATGACATTGTCTTACATGCATAGGTTTGTACCTCTAAAAAGAAGTTATCTACACCTTCTCATGTAACACTGGCACTGTGCATATCTATCTGGACAGATTCCTACAATTTGTGTTTGCTCCACATTAGATTATACAGTTGCAGCCAGGGAAATACGGGCATATCTCAAAGAAGAAAGCTGCTGACAAGGAACCCTTTTTTATGAAGTCTTTTAATAGGAATGCAGTGCAGTGTCTTTTGGTGTGTTCTGTTTAACTTGAAGTGTTTTTAAATTAATTTGGGGGGTGCAACATTAAACACTGAAATACAGACTTTTAGTGTTGAACTGCTGCAGGAAATGCAAAAAAATTATCTTGACCTGGAAAAATGGTATTTTATTGTAGTTGTGTTAATTTATATCCAACAGAAAATCAGCATATGTTAAGAGGAAAAGGGAAAAAAGGAGAAAAGCAGATTAGCCTGTCTCATCACTACCATGCCACATTGAAACAGCATTGATCTGTAAGTTTTGCCACCAAAATGTAAAGCAAAAGAAATGTGGAGGCTGTTGAAAGAAACATGAAACCATGATTGAATGCGTTTTGGAAGAAGCTTTCAAGATTCAACATGTTTTTGGTTACTTATGCAAAGCTGACCTTATATGTAAGTTTAATTTCATTTGTTAGTTCTGAATAAAAAAGTTTGTTGAAGCATGTAGAACTGCTCTTCTTTTTTGTAGCATAGGAACCAATCCCTGTTCTTCCCATATTATTTCTATCTCTGGTGCCAAAGTTTTTGTGAAAGAAGTAAAGCCCAAGAACACATCTACTTCATTACTATCCATAATGGGAGTGAAATCATAAAACAACCCCCATTTATTACAATCACCTATGGATTACAGGTGGTTTCCATTTATACATAGGCACCAAAACTTCAAGTCTTACCTGAAGGTAAGACCTGTTGAACTTAAAAGGGACTCACTATTGGATAACAATAGGATTGCACTGTAACACAAGTAGCAATATGGGTTGCACAAACATTGATTGTGCCTTCAGGAACAAAGTCTGGCATGTAGTTTAACTTTTTTCAAGCATTTACATGAACTGTAGTCTATTTTGCCAAGAAAGTGACTGAAATTTCTTTTTCTTCCATACCTTCCTAATCCTACATGTCTACTGCTGTTGCTATTGAGCCTTTAGTGTTAGCAGAGAGTATACTAGTCTTCCAGAAACATTATTTTTCTTGTGGAGAAATCCTAATGTCTCACAATGCAAGTTAAATACACACTTGCCCTTTTCAAAATTTCTTGCATTACAAATACAGAGATATTCCATCTTGTCAGGTCAAAATGCTTGAGTAATAGCCTTCAGGAAGCTTGACTTTAACTATCTCAAAGTCCCTCAGCTTATAATGCTCTGCAATACATTCAATGTATGCACAGAAACAGATATTTCTCTTTTCATAGTCTCAGTGTCTTCTGTGAATATATGTATGAATGAGGTGAAAACCAGTGTTACTTCCCCACTATCTCAACAAAAAAGCACCCTCTGAGACAGCCACTCAAGACTGTTAAGGTATCTGATAAAGATCTAACCATGTTTGATGTTAGGTATGATCTTGTTGTCCATTCCTTCAGTGGTTCTACTAACTTAGAAACAGTCTGTGCACAAGAGGGAAAAATACATAGGGGTTTTTTTTGGTAGTTTGGACATAAGCAGAGTAGCACTAAGTGGTTAATCTTCAGCATCAAGCAAAACACCACATCTGCATAGAGATTATTTGATAAAAGGAAACAAAGCTACAGATGCTAAATCAGAAAGGTGCAACTATTTCCTTTACCATTTTTTCTTGTTTTTGTCTTCTTGACATATGCAGCCATAAGGGCTTTCCAACTAGATTAAAAATCTTCATGTATTTTCTCAAGCAAGTTAATAAAATACTTCCAATATGGCAGTAAAATAGATTTGTTATTTCAATTTTGTACTTTGAAGTAGAATATTAGCCACCCTGGACTCCTATGAGAAAGGGCAGGATATACACTGAAAAATAATGCTAACACAATGTATTTGCTATTATTTCAAAAGTTTCTTTTTTAAAGAAGGTGGATAATAAATAAATGAACATCTTTTTACAAAAATCATTTTTTTACAGAAAGTGACTAAAAAAATTCACAATAGAGGTATAAACAGAAACTGCTTACCACTTCCTTGAGGTTCTGATGTCTCCCAGCCCATTGATTTCTTTACAGCTTTCTTCCACCTTCTGTAGCGATACTCGCTTTCTGAAATCACAAGGAATATTTTCATTGCACTTTCCAAAAACATTTATGAAATGATATTATTTGGGTAAGCCTTCTTAGATTCACATCCAGATAGAAGCGTTTTGCACTCCATATCAGATAACTGTAGTGCCAGGCAAAAAAAAAAAAAAAAAAAAAAGGAAAGTATATTTCCTCCAAGAAATACACACATTCATCATCCTAGTGCAACTATACTATTAGGATTCTTGCATGGCAGGGGTAGGACTTAGATGATTTTTGTCCTCAATTCCAACTCTTTTATCCTATGTAAAAATTGCTCAGTAGTATGATTAACCCAGGATTGTGGCTCTGCTTCATTCGCAGATAGTGGGAATTGGAAATAATTTTCTCTTACCTTCAGGATTAATCTTTGGCTCAAAGCATTCACATGTTACTGCTGTAAGATCATCAAGATTGAGACTCCAGACTCCTACTCCTTCAGCTGCTCCTGCTGCCATAGCTGCTCCTAGGGCTGTAGTTTCAGGCATAGATGGCTTTACTAAAAAGATACAAATGAAGAATCATTATGAACTGCTAAAAATATTTAAAGCATAACAAAATCAGAACATTTTAGGCAAAACAAAACATCACATTTCTGTTTTCTTCTTTATTCCTTCTAGTGAAGCTGGAGGAAAATAAAACCAGTGCAAAAAGGTCGTTCATTTAAGACAAGTTAAGTAAACGGGAGAAATTTGCATTTTCTAATGAACATCAACTGAAATGTGAAATAGATAGGAGTTATTCCATGCATTAAAATATAGAGATAATTTCTTCCAGTCACTACCAGCAGTGCCCAAATTTGTTTTGTTGCTTGTTACTTGTATTAAACTCATAATATAACTGCTGCTTGACTGTGAACTTCTTAAGAAAGTGACACCAAACAAAGGCTTTTACCATATATAGACTAAAACTGTTATGATAATAAGTGTCTTATGGCTTAGTCAGCAAGTGATCTAGGCTGGAATGACAAAACCTTAATTCAGTCCATGTTACTTAGAAGTTATCCAACAAAAGGAAAGGCAAAACAAAAGTGTGGTTTTCAGCTGGTTAATAATAATAATAATAATAATAACTTCAATTTTGCACCCCGACTCCATCTCCCCAAAGGAACTCGGGGCGGCTTACACGAGGACAGACTGAGTTCAATATAACACAACAGATTTCATAAAAACAATTTCAGCAGTATAAAACAACACACATAATACAATATATAGCAAACATCTAACCAACGTCGGTGGTTCAGGAGTCGCTATAATAAGCTGGTGTTCCAGATAAACCAAGCCGGCAAGAAGTAAAACAAAATAATTAATTTTAGCCACTCCATAGTTAGGAAAAACACAGATTATTGCCAGTCACTAGAAAAATATGGTTGAAAATAATCAAACTCCCAGGAAGATGGTGGAAGATTTATAGGAGACTAATTAGATCAGTGTCTTCAACTTACCATATTTACTTGAATATAATGCACCATCAAATGTATTGCACACCTGCATTTTGAAGATATTTATTACAAAAAAATATTGTATTGAATGTAATGTAACCAAGTTGGGATCACGTGAGGCTGACAAAAGGCACAGCTTCCCCTTCCCATTAGCCATCCCACTGCCTGCCTCCCTGACAACAGACCCAATGGTGCAGACAAGGTTTTCCCCTGTCTCAGAACAGCAGACAGGCTCACACATTCCTTCACGAGGATTTAAAAACCTCCTTTTTGGTTTTAAAGACCTTGAGGAAGAGGCCAGTTTGGGAAGCCATGCGTGTTTGCCAGCCTCACCTGACAGAGGGGCACAGGTGGGTTTACATTCACAATTCTAACCCCATTGAAGCTAATGTGCACCTCAATTTTCGCTATGTAATTTAGAAAAAAAAGGTGTGCATTGGACTCAAGTAAACATGGTAACAACCACTGCAATCAGTGTAATCTTTCTGTGTTTCTTTGTTGCTCAATGAATAGCAGCAATAGGTCATCCACATCTGAAACTTCCTGCTGGGGAGTAGGGCTTGCATTGGCCTCAGTCTCTGGCTCTTTTGGCTCAAAGAGACCACTGTCATCTTGAGCCACAAAATTCTTGGAAAATTATCTCCATTTCTCTATATGAATATTCAGTCTCCAGAGACTGAATTATGATACCAAGAGGGGCATATATAATGGAATTGACATAAGCCATTCAATAGACCAGAAACCAATCTCTCCAAACAGCTTTGTCCAGGTGAATCAGAAAATCTAAAGACACAATTCTTAGAACAGAGGCAATGCCCTAAGTGTCAAAGGGGGTCAACTGTCCATTCCTGGAATTAATAATAAGATTGAAAACATAGGTATTTTCAAAAGAGTTCTTCGAGGGGAGGAGATAACTATGGGACTTGGCACTATGTTTTAATCTATTTTATTGTATTTACATGCTTTAACTATTTTATAATTTGGTATGTTATTTTTATTTTGTATGTATAATGCAGCATTCAATTTTGCCATAATCTGTAAGCTGCTCTGAGTCCCCTTCAGGGTGAGAAAAGTGAGGTATAAATACAGTACATCAAATAAAATAAAATAAATAATTCAACAATGTTTGAAGTGGTATATAATGAAATACTTCAAAGTAGCCATTTGCCATATATGCACAACAGTGCAGAAGACAATTAATTGGTTTAGTATGTAAGAAGTATGTAAAATGTAAGTTGCAGTCTTTTAGATGAATTAAGAAATCCAGACCTTCTTGGCTACAAATCCTTAGCCTACCGAAGCAAGGCTGAGAATCCTGATATGAACAACTACAGGAAATCCTTTAAATACAAATCTTGAATTGAAATATTTCAAGGTAGACCACAGTGGGGTTTTTTTAAATCAAAATCAAAGTTGTACTGCTTTGGAGGGCAGAAGGGGTAATTTCGACTTCCAATTGTCTCCATATTCAGCTTCATAGTTTCTTTGATTGATATTATTGTAAGTAGTAGTTCAAAATAAAAGAGAACAGATACTTCTCTTACCTACTGGAATACAGAGAATGTCAGCTTGAAGCTGCATAAGGATCTTGTTGTTGGTCATTCCTCCATCAACTTGTAACTGACTTAGAGGTATTCCACAGTCTTTGTTCATTGCATCCAAAATCTTGAAACAAACCATATTGCATTTTTTTTTAAATTTCACACAAAACTTTTCAACAGGAAAAATAAGTTTTTATAAATGCACTACCAAAACAAGAATTTTATTGGAAATATTATCTAAAACAGTGATTTAAGAACAATGACTTCTCTAAGATTGCTGACATTTAAGGGAAAAAAAGGAGAAATGGACATGCTAGTGATTTCAACAGGTCCGAAACACCTGACTACTATAGTAAAAAAGGCCCCTAAAAAGATGCATATGAAATGCTTAGCTTTATTCCTTCAGTAAAAAAGAATAGTGAAGAAACAATACTCAATAACTGAAGGAAATGGGAACCTATTTAAAAGGCCCAACTACCTCTGTATAAGATTCTGAGCATATGAAATTAACTTCAGTTCAAATACACACTCAGTATCGTAGCATACAAAAATGTATACAAGAGACCCAGGGGTGCCTGAACTCAAAGAAGTATAGATTGTACCCATCAACTGTACCTCTCGTGTTTGAAAGCAAACAGCTTCTAGCGCAGCAAAGGCAATGTGTTTTTTATTTGTAAACTGAGTAAGGCCACAGATAATGCTGTAGGAAAAGGTAAAAAGCAAGAATTGTCATTAGGAAAAATATTAATTAAAATATTAATTTACTATAATGTCATGTTTTTGCCAAAGCAATCCATTATGATACACTGAAGTAACTCTAGTCCAGAATTTTACAAATATTTCATGTTGGTGACACACTTTTTAGACATGCAACATTTTTGTTATTGTTTATTCGTTCAGTTGCTTCCGACTCTTTGTGACCTCATGGACCAGCCCACGCCAGAGCTCCCTGTCGGCAGTGGCCACCCCAGCTCCTTCAAGGTCAAGCCAGTCACTTCAAGGATACCATCCATTCATCTTGCCCTTGGTCCACCCCTCTTCCTTTTTCCTTCCATTTTCCCCAGTATCATTGTCTTCTCCAAGCTTTCCTGTCTTCTCATTATGTGGTCAAAGTACTTCATCTTTGCCTCTAATATATTTCCCTCCAGTGAGGAGTCAGGCTTTATTTACTGAGGTATGGACTGGTTTGATCTTCTTGTGGTCCTCTCAGAATTTTCCTCCAGCACCACAGTTCAAACGTGTCTATCTTCCTTCTCTCAGCCTTCCTTATGGTCCAGCTCTCACATCCATAGGTTGCTTAACTCAACTAGGCTAGAATGCTGGAAGTAAACCTGTCTAAAAGAGAAAGACTTTGGAACAAGATGCTTCAGGAAAGTTAAAGAAGGCTTTTAAGGAGAAATGTTTCAGCACCCACATCAGGGCAATCTTTATCACTTACAACTATCTTCCCTTCTCTCCATATATTATCCACACATAATAAACAAATCTATGCTGTCACATGTATTTAGGCTATTATAGCTAATATATACAGTCTCCTGGTACGAAGGTCAACTATTTCTTCAAACCTTGCTTACAAGTTTCTGTTAATATCAAAATGAAAGAAATTTTAAAGACTTTATATTGAACATTAAAAAAGATATCCTTACCCTCTAGCACTAGGTTCCCAATATGGTGCATACAATCCTGAGAATGCTGGGACAAAGTAGCAGCCATAAGAAGTGCCTACATCAGCAGCAAGTTTCTCTGAAATTAAACAAAAAATATAACTTAGTAACAGCCACTTACATTTACATTTAAATCAGTATTGTGGTTTTTTTTCTTTTTCAAAAGTAGCCCCCAGAACATTTAGTATTTCTAAATATAATGGATTACAATTTCCAGAACTCTTGAGCATAGGCTATGCTGGTTGAGGCCAACAGGAGTTGAACCCAAAATATATGGAGAGTGGTTGGGGAAGGCTGCTTGAGATATGGAAAGTTGTCCAACAGATTACTCCCACTTCTGCACCATGTTGATATTTGCTATACTTTCCATTTTTAACTGGGCAATTCTATACTTGACTACACAAAACTTAATTTTACTGATGTTCACAAAAAAAGCTTTACAATTATAGGCCATTATGACTAGTGCACAGTCTCCTGTATGAAGATAACTGCAAATAATGAACAACACAAGATGTTGTGAAAGTAACGACAATAAAGGTAACTGCACAAAACATGATGCTGTGCAGTTATAATATTATACTTTAAAAAGCCTTTTAAAATTAAAAAAGCAATTCTGCTGCCATAAGCAGTAACTGAAAAAAATTCATCTTGTTTTTAATTTGCAAAATCAATATAAAGAACTCCGATTGCAAACTGCTATACAACCTTTTAGATTTTCTCTTCCTAAGTGTTTTCTTTACTTTACATTATCAGACTTACTAAACGCAGGCACATATTCCAGTTAGCACCCCTGAACTTGGAAAAAGGAAAACATATGTTCAGGTTTACCAATTTTGGGCAGGAGGAATTATTTTTCACAACAAACTATTCAAGTTATTGATACTTACCAATTTCATCTGAAGACCGTGCAATACCAAGGTTGTCCCTTAACCAACGAACAACGGCACCAGCTATGGCAACAGATCCCTGAAAGTAAGAGAACACATAAAAATTAATTAAAAGCAAAACTTACAAATAATAAAAGGTGGAATGTGTCTCTTTTATCAATTTTTAAAGTTCCCCATTAACCTCTAAAGACACATATCATATATTGACACAAGTCTGGGGACTGGAAGAGAAGATGATCTGTCATTCTGGGAACACCTGCCCCAAGACCCAATTTTGAAGGAAAGGGTAAGTATAGTTTACAGATTTCATATCCATGTACAACTTGCACATATGAACTTGCTCTCACTGCAGATTAAATGATCATATCCCTCTGTATCTCTTCAGACACAAAGTAGCTATTGAGAATTTTCTATTTCTTCATCAGGAAGACGCCAATAAACAATGTCAGCGAGCCAACAAACAGTCACAGTAGACTGCAGAATATGGAAGTCCTTAAACAGCAAGAAAAAATTCCAGAGCATAAATGGATATATTTGGAAACCTTTAATATATACAGAAAACAACTATACCTACTTCTAATGCATAATACACAGGTTTCTCTCTGCCCAGTTTGTAAGCCACAGTTGTCAGAAGACCATGCTCAGAAAGTGCAGGCTGGAAACAAAACAAAACAAAACAACATACTGGTATATGTAGTCATTTAATATGAAAACATATTGCTTATTTGTGATTATTGTATTAAGTGGAAAACTACTACATTATGCTTCACTTTTGGGATTCAATTATATTCAGCTTATGATCTTTTTAAGGTTATGATCCTTTTAAGCTCTCAATGAGATATCAGTTGTGAAGAACTTTTGAAATGCATGGGAAATATTGCTTTACGGATCAACAGGAAATGTTTAAAAAAGAGTGTACTTTCTTTGAAAGAAGTAGGTGTTTATTAGAATTGTCAAGTTGTTTGATTCACAGGACTAACCTTTTGACCTGTATTGCAGAGTAAGAAGCAGCCTGTTCCATACCTACAATCAAAGTGACAAAAGTTTTTAGTTTTCTACAAAACAAAACAAAAAACAAAACATATATAAATGGCCAGGTTGCAACAGATACAAGTTTTATGACGATTTGCAGTCTCATCGTGTAAGTACACTAGCAATGTTAGAATACAAAAGAAGCAAATAAACTATTCTGCCAATAATTGGTAATTCAGTTCATTGTTATTGTGATTGTGGTCACTGTCATCATTATAATTGATTCTCCAGGCATCCATTATTTATGACTGGTGGCTAATCTATATTATGCCAAATGCTATTGCATGCTTTAAAACATTGTTATATTCACTCAGTGAGCTGACTATACACTTTCAGATAGTTCACAACTGAATATATTCTGTAATCCTCTTCACCAGGAATAAAAGGACATGTTTTATTCTGATATTTAATTTGCTCAGAGAAACCAGCCAGCTCAGAAGCAACTAGCCCTTGGAATAATGGAGTGTGCACTTTCCAGTTCAGAAACCAGCCAAGGATTGGAAGGGAATGAATGGTTTGCAAATACGGATTGCATTGTTAGCTGAGACCCTGCAGAAACCTTCTGTCCATGTTCAGATTGGTCTATAATTTTTTAGCCTGCCTAGTTCTCCCTACTACATTGGACTCAGCAACACTCTCTCTGTGCTACTTTCAGCAGAAGAGAAAGGAGCAATGGGAGCAGATTGTATACTCTAAGAAGTATCATCTCTGACACTTTGAATACATTCTGTAGTTATCCTAGTTGTCCCACCATATCTGTGGATTAAACTTTAGAGGACTTGATCATTTACAAATTATTTGCTGCCACCTTTGTTGCTGCTGCCCTACAACTGTTTTAAAAAGGACTTTGTTAACACTGTTGCCCATGTTGAGCAATGTTCAGTTAAGTCAGGCTTAGTTATTGGCCAAATTTTGGCTTTCTGTGAGGAAATAAAACTGGCTGAATGGCTGGGTCTGGCCATGTGTGTGTAACCTTGCTCACTCACTTGGGCAGATGGTAAAAGGATGGCACAAGGGGAGTATGAGCAGGAAGGGGACTTGCTTGCTAGCTCCCTCAGACGGGCAGGTAGGAAGGAGATGGGATAAGTGTGCATTTTTGTGCATGCACTTTCCCCTCCTGCCTGAGTGAGTGAGTGAAATGAGGAATGAATGGCCAGGTTCAGTCTTCCTTCCACTGCAAGTACTTTTATATGTGTGTGAAATATGATGGGGTGGTGGTGGAGATATTCAGTTTCCCCACTTTTGTAGGTGTCCTATACATCTACCCCTGTGAAACTGCCCACTATATTTAAACAAACACAATTAGATCATCTTGCACAAGAAAGCTATCTGATGAACTACTAAAGTCCTCCACACAGTGCCACAGACCTGTCTCTGAGGATGCAAAAGTAGTGTGGAAAGTATTGTACATATACCAATCATATTGACATTTTTACAACAAATCTATAAGGTTATATGCTATTATACCCAATCTTCCAGATGGGGCAGGGTGCCACCCAAAAGCAATAGACTTATCAGCCAGTGGCCAAACTATGGAACTTTCTCATTCACAGTTTGAGTCTTCTAGTAAGCATGCAATAATGGCTACTTCACACTGCATATTCCTAAAACTTTTTTTTGTATCACAGCAAAAATTATTCAATGCCGTTTCTCATGTTTATACTTACGTATTTTTTGCTTGACCATCCTTAAAGCACATTTGTCCCACTAGAGCAGCAGACTGGTCACCTAAGCACTGGAATGATAAACAATCCCACAATGTTTAGCCAAAGCACACTTGCATATTTAATATTCAAGTCAAATCAAGTATGTTTTTCTTTCTAGAACTGGAAGACCTAAAGATTGTAACTTTCTGTGGTGAAGGGGGGGGGGGGAGCGCCATTGCTACCATCTCTGAGAGAGAGAAGTGGGAGAAAGGACAATCTGGTTCCTCTTATCACTTCACGAACACTGTGGATTCCATCTCCTTTTCCTCCTCCTCTTGGCATATGACTTTATTTTACCCCACCAAAGGAAGGAAGATGAGACCAGGAACATGTGGCATACCAGAAGATGAGGAAGAACCAGAACACTGTGGGTCTGGTTCCTCCCTCTCTTCCTGTGTACCATGTGTTCTGTTCTTTGCCTGGTTAAAACAGAAATGTGTGGAACCAGAAGAAAAGGAGCTAGATCTGTAGGGTAAATAGTGGAACTGGCCTCTCTCCTCCTCTTACTTACATGCTGCAAGTTGTGTTCTATCTGGCAAACAGAGAGTTGTGGCAAATAGGAGAAAGAAAAGGAATTGCCCCCCATTCTGCACTCTCATTTAACTGGCAGATCTGGTATCTCCTGTTCTTCCTGTGTGCTGCATGTTCCTGCTCCTCCTGGAATCCCTCTTCATCTGCCCAGGCACAACACAGATTTGCAGCACACAGGAAAAGGAAGAGGACCCAATTTTGCCATGTAGGTGAAGCAGCACAGGGCTGGTTTCTCTTTTTATCTGCTATGCCTTGAGTCTCAGAAAAAGGAAGGGAGATGCCAGGTGGAAGAGGGACGGGTGGTATAATGCCTCCTGAACAGTCCCTTGCTCACCAAGGCTGCAAGTTTCAAACTTGCAAATAATCAAAACTGCAAGCATGAAATCTGTGAGAGTAAAGGACCAACTAACACAAACCGTACTAACACATGCAATTAATTCATACATGTGCCTTTGACTGACCCCCCCCCTCTTTAAATAATATGTATTCTAGAAAACAAGCACATATTGTATTAAGGTAATCATTTGAGCATAATTTAGGAAACTTACCCCAGAAATTGGTACACCAGTCAATGCTCCAGAACTCTGACCAAAAATAAAGATTTTTTTCTTTAAATTCCATTTAACATGTAAATCTCTTTTTGAATACAAATCTTAATTATATTAAACCCAGTCATATCCATACATTTACTCACTCTTTTGTTGTCAAAAATAAAATGAAATTTCTAATTGCAATTAAAAATGACTAGGTTCTGAAAATAAATTAGCCATTTAAATGGCAGGAGAAAAAAATATTTTGCCATATAATCTCTCCTTATTTACACTGTTGGATTGATTCTATTTGAGTTCCACAGAAATATAGTTACGTGAAAAGGCAGAACTGGTTATTACTCATTGTTTATGCTTCCTCTTTTAAGACACTGCAATAGTTTTATTAACATAAAGCAGACCTCGTGGTGTTCAGTTTGAATTTCTTCTAATGAGAAAAGGTTCTAAGGATAAAAATGGGTAGAATGCTCTAGAAGTCATAAATAGCTACAAATCCCGGCATTACTGATTCGTATGATGACACTCTGCCTGTAGTTATTACTTTGAAAGAAACCAGATGGATTCTTGTTAAAATATGTGGCCTATGACCATGACAAATTGACACCACCTGTATATGCCCACTGATACTACTGTAGAGTGGGAACACTATGCAGTATCACTTTCACAAATCACACACTAATGTAGGACCTCTGAATTGGAAACTGCTTGAGGTGAGATGGAGAGATCCAGAAGAGTAAATGGTGATTTAAGTTGTAATAAAACTTTAAGGACTGCAAAGCATTGGCAACTGGGCAAATATATAGTCTCTCCTTTTCTCCCAAGCCCACCTCATTATTTTTGGTCACTAATAGCTGCCCCCCTCCTCCCTCGCCCAGCAAACCCAGTTAAGAGTAGCCATGCATCCAACTTTCGAGAGTACATACTTGATTTAAAGGCATATATAGGTTTACATATATAGGAACAGGTCTAAATTAAGATTTAAATATATAGAGACTGACAGATATTGAATCATATGAGGGAGAACAAGGACTTTCATGTTGCACCTGAAACCAGACTGAGATTAATTAAGTCAGTATTTAAATTACAGTAGGTATTTCTATTTTTTAAATCAATGCACATACATTACCAAGTGCAAATTATATAAGCAAATCAGTAACCTCTGTTGTCCCACTTCAGGTGACAGACTCGCTTTTGTTTTGTTAAGACACACTGGCTACCTGAACTCCAGTTAATAAAAGGATTAGGTAAACCCATCTATCTCCACATCAAAGTTTGCTACTAATCAAAACAGAGTAACAGCTGGTTTTGGTACCAACTGAATAGTACACAAAATACCAACTCAGACCTACAATATGCAGAAAACATTATGCTTAAAAATGGGAGGTTTGTGAATATTATATAGTGCAAGAGTGATTGTAACAAATTAGATAGAAAAAGACAACGAATTTTATTTTGAAAGGTCATGCTATTGGTGTTGTGAAACTATGTGAGGTTTCCTCAAAAAGCCAGAAGAAATATGCCGTTGTGTTCCTGCAAACAACCAGGCATGCCAGAATCTATTGCCCACCCACTCCTCCCATTCCTAAACAGCTTGTTTTTACCAATTGTATGTGCTTGCACATTCAGCAGCAGCACCTGAGTTCAGTGAAGCCATGCATACCATACAGCCAGTACATTTCCATTTGGGGCTTTTAAAATGTTTTCTTTGAAGTACTAATGCACAGTAATTTGCCATTCTTTTCTTTTTTTAAAAAAGGGAGCTGCACACTTCTCTGCAGACCTTAAACAAAAATGCATCAACTTAAAAAAAGTTCACCTAGCTTCATTCCCTTTTAGAGAGGAATGGGGCTTCCCCGAGGAAATGCACTGTATCTGAGCAGAATGGATGAAGATGTGACGGGCTGGCATCCTAACAAAATCCTACTCACCAAGGTAGGAGAGATTTTCTAGTCAGCAAGAAGGGAAGTGGGAAAGAGGAGGAAACACAAACATGTTCACAGTTTCAAAGGCTGATAACCCATCTCAAGGCCCTTAACCAATTACTTCCTCATATAAATCCCTAATCCTTAACACCTATCAAATTCCAGTTCCAAAATGAACCATCTAAAGCCATACATCTTTCATGACTCTAATGCTGGATGTCTGTTTTTTAAAATCTTGTAGGCACTGCATCTAAATTACCTGAAGAAGAGATTAACTGAATTTCCATGCAAGTTCAAAATAAATTCCATATGCAAACAAAATAATCCCCCTATTTTTCCAATTTAGATTACATAAACTTGTGTAAGCAAAACTGATTTCACAAAATGTAACTTGTAACAAATACAACTGTAACATTTTACATTTTCACAATGTAAATATACTTAAGCTTGTACAAGTTTAGCATGAGTTTAAAATTTGTTGGTTATTTGCTTGTGAATATTTTTGCTTAATCTGCATCATTTCCTTGATGCAGATTAAGCAAGCTCATTTCTTAAAGATGCAACTAACTAGAAGCACTTGAGAAAATAGTAAATATGTAAATATACCATCAGTCCATAAATCTCTGAGGAACTCCGCACTTTGGGAAGTATTTCCATAGGAATTTCAAAAAACCTGGAAAAAGAATATTTTTAGAGATTGGTGCAAAATCATTCATTTATGCTCACTGAGAGAGGGCTGGGGCAAGGTAAATGATAAAGTCTACAATATAAAAAATAGTTGGATTTACTTTGTCTTTAAATTTCTACACCATCATGCTTCTATTTGATATCACCACGGTTAGATCAGATGATTTATTTTATGATAGTCTCTCATAAACGAATCCCATTGAGGGTTGATCTATATCTCTTAGTCAAAGAGAATAATTTGCTCGGCCTTGACAAATTCATGCTGGCTTGTACGTCTGAACAGTTACAGGCATGAGCAAATTTACTGTAGAAGTCACCCAATCAGTTAAGCTGTACTTCATTGAGATGCTAATGACATCTACCAAGCTTGGGCCAAGGTAAGAGCTTGGCGCTTCCTCCAAGGAAGAGGTGAACATTAGCAACACCAGATTTTTCTTGCAATATGTTATTCAAACTCAAGTTCAGGCCATTTCAAGTTTTACTACATGTGATGCTGAAAAAAGAACTATTAAATTCCGTTGCATTAATGGAACTTACTTCCAACTATTAATCAGCAAATCAGATTTAGTTTCTGAAAATAAACAAACTAGTAAACAATTTTCTACTACTTGGGGAGCTGCACAGACGAACAACTTACTTGCAAAGTTCCTCATCCCATTCTAATGAATGAATGTTAAACAACATTGTTCGACTGGCATTGGTCACATCAGTGCAGTGGATACCTCCATCTTTCCCACCTGTCAAACTCTGAATAAAGATAACAATAGGGGAAAGTTAAGTAAAACCAGGTATCTATATATGACCAAATTAGTAGCAGAAGTTGAAGATCATGTACAGTACATGTTTGCTATTGCTATCTGTAAAAAAAACCACCCTATCACATGAATAGAGAGATAAACAGAAATAAACTTAAACACATAAACAATTCCCAAATAGCTGGTATACTCCTGAAAATGTTTGTTTCTTTTTTTTCTTGGAGCTGCTCAGTTATTATACTTGTATACACAAACAGCTACAAACATACATACAACTCCTTCATAATGCATTCAGTGCATATACCAGAGAAGCAGAACTGCAGAATCATAGAGATGGAAGAGACTTAATGGGTCATCCAGTCCAACCACCAGCCAAGAAGCAGGAAAATCGCATTCATAGCACCCCGACAGATGGCCATCCAGCCTCTGTTTAAAAACCTTCAAAGAAGGAGCCTCCACACCACATTATGCCCACTGTTAATGTCTCCAAAAGCTGCACACAGCATTAGCGTGAAAGGGTGTTTCCACAAAATCAGACAGTTTGGGATCAAGGTTCCAACTGAGATGCGAAGCTACACACATTTAAGTTTTTCTTTGCTTTTTGTGCCTCACTGCTTTTTAAGGAATGTGTTTTAGCGTTATAATACAATTTAACTATGTTGTGCCCTGTCTTGAGTCATTGTTGTTGTTGTTGTTGTTGTTATGTCAAATGAGCAGATGCTAAGGCAGTGGACATGATCTTTCTCATTTATACATTCACTGATATATGCATTAGGTAACTATTGACTGAAACTACATTCTAGCACTGCAAAACATTTATGATATTAGTTTAGTGAATATGAGAACTTCCCACATTACTATAACTGATATGCTTCCCCATTTTGTCCAAATTTAATATATTCCTCAACTAATCATGTTCACAGATTATGGCACATGAATGTGTCTGCAATCTGACAGCAGAAATAATTTCTATCTTTGTATAAGCCTCAAGGTGATTAGATTCCAGCTGAGAGGAAACAGAAACAAAGACATTTGTTTCAATATATTGAAAACTTACCCATATCAGCCATGAATCAATAGTACCAAACAGAGCTCTCCGGTTCAAAACTGCTTGCTTGACCTTTGGCACATTGTCCAGAAGCCAACGAAGTTTCACCGCACTGAAGTATGTGCTAAGTGGGAGACCAGTTTTACTCTGCAAGAGTGAAAGTTAGTGAGGGCATAAACATATAAATACTTTGAATAAATCTGCTAAAGAACATTTGCCTCCAGTATAAGCATCATGAAAAAGATAATGTTTAGAGTCTCATTTCTCATTACATGTCAATTCTGCAAATGCTACATGTACAAAGATCAAGAAAAAATATAGTTTGAACATCCACCACACCGTAAAGGATGCAGAAACTCTTCTAAGCTCCTGTTCATGTTTGCACAGTCAACACATAGATTGAGGGAGCATACTGACAGAATGTCATGTTTTTATATTGGCTATTTTCAAAGTGGCAAAAACAATTTCTACAGTGATCACTTAAACAGAATTATTGATTCACTTATGCATTTGATAAGCAGCTATGGCATGTATTTGAAGTGAGTGAATTTATGCTGAAATAGCCTTTGCCAATATATACAGTGAAACAGGTAATTTCACATTTTTTCTCATTGGACAGATCACATCTTCTATCCTTTACTACTTTAGCAAAAATTGAAATATAAATATTTTAGACTGTAATCATATGTTCAATTATGCAATGGGACATGGATAGGATTTTATTGTTAATCCTTTGTATTAGTGATACAACCTATTAATAAAACTTTTAAAACTTCCTTCCTTATCTCAAGACTTCATTGAATGTTGTCAGCTGTTGAATCCACAAATGAAAAATGAATTCATATGAAGCATATCTTATTTTGACTGTTGTCAGAGGGATTATCATGTCTGGTAAAGTTCCACAACAATGCAACACTTCTCAATATTTTAAAAACCAACCTTACCTTTAAAAAGGACTTATTTTGCCCTGGAATTCGTTTAAGCAGTCTCTCAACTGTAGGCTGGGTCCTAAGGTCAAGCCATACTATAAATCATAAGCAAGTATTAGTGGTAGGTGAAGGCTTTTGTGCAAAACATTTTAAACAAGTTATACATAACTCCCACATTGCAACAACTTCACTGGCTATCAGTATGTTCCAAGTCTAATTGAAAGTGCTGGCTATGACCCTGAAAGCCTCATGCAGTGTGGGCCCAGACTATCTGAAATACCATATCTCATGATATGACCCTATTTCTGTCTTGCCATGATTTCCGATCCATTTGGTGAAGACATGGGAGAGCATCTCAGCAGCTGCTCTCAATTTATGGATTTCCTTACTGTAGGAACTTGATTGGTCTCTCGTCTGCTCTGTTTCTACCAACACTCAAATACATATTTATTTAAGACCATCAACTTTTAACTTAGCAAAGCAAATGTTTTTCAAATGAGCAAGTTGCTTTTATCCTATAAAGCTGTTCTACTTTAATACACATTTAAACTGTTTTAGTGCTTTAACAGAATTGTTTAATGTCTTTTAAACTTGAATATGAAATAGCCTGTAGCTAAACTTTTGTTTTAATTTGTTTTAAGCCATCTTGGGTACTGAACTGTAAGAAACACTGAATATCAATTAAACTAATAAATTGCAAGTTAGCTATCATTTTTAAAGTATAAAACCTAAATTACTCATGTACAACTTCACCAGGTTCACACATACCCATGTATGTGTTAGCATGTCCCGTCCCCCCCACCACCCTCCTAGCCCCAAGTAAAGAGTTCCATATACTTAAGATTATAAAAATGCATTAGTAAGGGAGAAGAACTGCATTAGAATCCATATCATTAAAACTGTGTATGTCCTGCTCTGGTCTTGCCATGGTATCACATTCCATGCACGGGCACAAATCCAATGATTAGTCACAAACAGAAGAGAATTCATTGTCTCAATGAATCATTGAAAGGTTAGCACTTATACTACTTCCAGTGACAAAATTGGTGTACTCTAATTAGGATGAATAATTGGATTTAGGCTTTGATTTTAGACATTTCCTCTCATATGGCATTCTAGAAGTGCCTCTCCAATGCTATAAGCTTATTTAGAGCAGTGCAACTGCTTAATTATTTAATAAATAGAATTTATGTTACACAAACTTTTTACAATCTCCCAGAAGAATAACAAGTAAGCTTAAGATTTATTCCAGGTTTATTTAGCAGTGGTTCCAAGAGGTATACCATTGAGGCACTAACCAATCCCAATACTGCTTTATCTTTCAGATATAACTACACCATATACTCTCAGATCCTTTTCCTGTCTATACTTGAATCTTACTGTAAAGACCTCACCCATCAGTCTTAGATAAACCCTAGACTGTTCTTGGAAATCTAGCCATGAAGATTAAGGCAATTGGCTCCCTCCTTGTAACTACATCCAACTATAGCAGACACCAAGAAGAAAGCAACAATGACACCATGAAAATTCAGCAGGGGGCTTTCTCATGCAGGTATTAGTGAAATAGAAAAACAAAATTAGGCTAAAGGGAAAAGTAAATATGGAATGTCCTAAAGCCCCTGAGAAATAAAATAGTATTTTAAAAAGTGTTAACATAGAAGAAGAATGAATAGAGGCTAATATATGAAGGGACAAAATTCATTTATTTTAGTGACCTACAGAAAGCATATAAAGTAACTATAGGAAAGAGAGAAGCTACTGCGTCATTTAAAACATTTTTAAAAGGTTAGCATGGAATATAGTGAAAGACAACCTTCCTACTTACCAATAGCATCATGGAGAGGCTCTCCAGTTAGTTTGTCCCACACCACAGTTGTCTCTCTCTGATTGCTGACTCCAACAGCTTAAGGGAATAAAATACATTTTAGTATTTTCATCCTTTGGGTTGGATTGAAATGAGAGGCACTACTATCATGCAATGTGATTTTATTGGTTCCTCTCCCTCATACTACAGCCCCCCCCCCCACACTTCCCCTCAAAAAACAAAACAAAAACCACACACCCCTGAGGATTGAGAGACTATTTGGAATGTGGATACAAGATAGGTAAGAGGATTAAGAAAGTCAAAAGAATTCAGCAAGGTTGTCTTATCCAAAGAAAAGCAGTGTCCATTCTTTAACTACTTTGATTACAATACAATTACCAACTACTTGTATGTACGTATTAGGAGAATCTAAGATTTAATTATATCCCCCTCCCCAAAAGCTGCCTTCTGGAAATGGAAGCTAAAAACACAGGTCTTTAAAAGGAAATGACTAAACTGTACATACGACAAACAAATTGTTGTTTAATGCCCAAGGAATGACAGTAAAAAAAAGATAACCTGGCAAACCATATTCATAACAAACCATGTAAACGTTTTATCATCTTATTTCAGAATGAAGTATCACTGTAATAGTTTGGCCACTTCTTTACATAGCACTTTTAACCCAAATAAATGGTTTTTTTTTAAAGAATATAAAGAACAATGCTTTTCTCTTGATCTCTAAATTTGGCATGGAAAATCCTCCATGAGTTCCTCTCGCCCCAATCAATGCCCTGACCCAGTAATACCTTTTATATTGGCAATGTCTACATTTAGCTGGTTTAGTTTTTCACACGTCCTTTCCACACATTCATAAACAGACTGAAGTATTTCCAATGGATCTTGTTCTACCCATCTTGAAAAGAAAAGAAGCACAATAAAAATCAAAATTAGTTAGCTGGATTTTTGCCGCAAATAAGGATACAAATTACCATAAGGAAGGATGTTTCCTCTATGACCGTGATGACATCTTACAAACATCAACTTCAGTTGCTAACAAATAATCTGCTAAGAAACATAGCTTAGTGAATCTTTTAGACCCACAACATTTAATCATATCACATTACTGAATGGCAAATGTTTAAGAAATGGGGAAAACCTACCCTTCTTTGGGGAATTTCTGCTGAATCTCTACTTGATGGTGACTCAGCAATTCTGATGTATTTGCATTAAAAACCTGTTAACAATAGAACATAACATTTCACCAAACCAGTTTGGAATGCCACAGTTAATGGGAGTGGCAGGAACTTCATCTTAAACATTTACTTGGAAGCAGATTTCAGTGATGACAGTGACATTAAAAACAGATCAAGTGCCCCACAAATACAACTTTTGCTTTCTGATATATAGTATGGCATGATCATACAGGATTCCACTGACTGTTCTAAAAGCATAGTTACAAAGACAGTCTTTAGGGATCTTGAATATATGATGGCTTTTTCAATCTCATGAAGCAGTTCTGCAATGCTATGAAATGATGATGTATCAAATCATTTCCACTAATAGCTTCAGGAGCCCAACCCAGACAGGATTATAGACAAAAAGGGCGGTGAAATAAAGACAGCTCATGCACAGCATGAGACAAAAAGAAGGGGCAGTAAAGGAAATGAAGAAAAAGCAACATTTAACAGACATTGTTTCTGAGTTTGGTTGATCAGCTGAATTTCAAACAATGGAGAATCACTAACAAACTACTCTATCTGGGGGCTAAACTGAACCATAGCATGGAGCTGTCCAACCAGTGGAAATAAAATGTCTTGTTCAGGATGTGTCATCATATAAGAACTGTCAATATAAGGAACAACGTTTGATAACTATTTTATTTTGACACACACACAAACAAACAATAGCACAAAATATTGAGAGTGGATACAATTGAGTCTCAGGTAAGCAGAGACACGGGGAGTCTGCTAACATAACTGATTGATTCATAAAGGCTAGATAATTTTATAGAACTGCCATGTTTTAACAGAAAGAACCCATGGATGTAACCATAGATCATATCTAAATAATTACACAATTTGATTTGAAAACAGACTTAGCAAGCTCTGTATCTGACACCCACACTTGCTGATCTTGAACTGATGCCTAGTCTGCTGTGGCTCTAATAAGTTAGTGATAAGTGTTAGTACATAATTAAGATGGCAAAATACTATTAATGATTTCCTGATCAGTGCAGATCCAAGTTCAGACTTGTTGAGACGTAGGTTGAAATGTGGGCAGAGTAAGAGTCCCAACAATCTGACACTTGCTGTGAACAACTGCTGCTATGGGACACATACCCCTTTGTAGGCATACCTATATCTTTGATTGATGTTTCAAGATATTTGCAAAACCTGGATTCATTTTATATGATGGGAATGGAAGAATGTGAAATTAAAGTTTTGACTTGCAGTATATTAATAAGATCCTGTAACTATTGTAATCTGTAGCTAATGCATAGTCTAACAAAACAACAGTGCCGCAGAAACAAGGTGGAAGGATGCAATTTTCTACATCTCTTTCTTTTAGAGTGCCCCAAATCACTATTCATTGGTATCTACAATCCTATATTCCCTTTCATGCAAATCTCTGAACTCAGCAGGATTTATTTCTATATACAAATATATAGGATTGTATTCAAAATTATCAGTAAAGTGCCATCTGTTGATAGCATACTACCGAAAGAACCCTTTCGGATAAACACAAACCAAGAAAGGTTCACTAAAATATATATTCTGCATAATCATAGCTTTTTGTTAGGACTTTGAGACAGAAAGAAGTACAGATACTGTTGTTCATCTTCAACCTTTGGCCCTAAGATGAGTAAATCATGTGGTTTTCTGAAGCAGGGAGTGTCTGCCTTCCTCTGAGGCTGAACATATGTGACTTCTCCAAGGTCACCCAGTGGGTTTACGTGGTTGAGTAGGGATTTGAACCTGGTCTGCAGAACTGTAGTCCAATTCTCAAACCAGTTTTCAAACCACTACACCCCACTGGCTCTCATTCTATTCGAAAAGTTTGTAAATTTGTTAAACGTATTATTCATTTAATTTACCAAGCTTCACTTCATTCTAGATTCTCTTGTCTTCTTTTTAGTTTATGTAGTGTATCAGTCTCATTTCCAAAGGTCAGAATAAACAGAACCTTCTAAAGGGTAGATTCTTCCAAGAACACTTAATAGCAGTTAATTATTATCTAGGGGTGTATACAGCTGATTTATCTCCATTCCAAAGTAGCAAGAGCCACACCTAACTCTTTTCAAGGGAGATGCTCTCTCTAAACAACAGGTGGTGTCTGCTTCTTTCTATCTAAGGAGACAGGAGGAAATGTTGGTGCAAACCTGTGCCAACTAATATGCAGGGAAGCAAATTCCCATCAAAATCAGCTTTTTGAAACAAGTTATTTGCTAGCTCTGCCTCAGATAATTCAGTTCAAAGCAGGTATTGTGGATTATCTGCCTTGATATTCTTATATGCCTGTGTGAAAGGGCCCATATAGCATCTTTGAGATTGAGAGAAAGTTGTTGACGGCATAAGCATTTGTAGACTTAAATCTACTTCATCAGATGCAGGAATATGAAAGTCACTATATAATAGTAATTATACAAAAACACATTTCTGTAGAATTCTCAAAAGAAGCCAAAGAAACATGAAAATTAATTAAGCCAGAAGGAAGCTTTAGCATTTACTTATAATGACAAACTCACTATTTTACCACATACCATTGTATTATGTCCCTTTTACACATTTCTCTGAACTGTTCTGTCATCCCAGCAGCAGGGACTTTAGACTGTCCTGAAAGCTATTTGCCTTGGCAAGCTTTGATAACCTCTCCTACAACAAAATTCCTGAACTTTATCCAGATCTTGTATGACCTTATGTTCTGTTTAAAAACAGATGGTGATAGCGAGGAGAGTGATGTAGTATAGTCCAAGAGGATTTTAGAAACATGAAATAAGCAATAGGAGTTTGATGAAGTCTTTTAAAATCTTCTAACTTAAAAAAAATATGTGCAGACTTCCATTTACTTCTAGTAATGATCAACAGAGCCTTTGAAATAGTCAATGTGCAAAAAGCATGTTTTATGCATGCTTGAAGTCAGCATTTCCAATTTAAATGGGAAATGTGAACACAGAATTATAACTACAAAACTTGATTTAGCAACTGTGACCTTAACATATACAAACTTTGTTACTGTTGTCATATGGCTTGAAGTCATTTCCAATTTATGACAATCCTATCGTGGAGTTTTCTTGGCAAGATTGGCTCAGAACCTTTGCCTTCCTCTGATGCTAAGTGGGACTTGCCCAAGGTCACCCAGAGGTTTCCATGGCTGAATTGGGATTCAAACACTGGAGTCCAGAATTGTAGTCAAATGCTCAAACTACAACACCACACTGGTTCTCAAACTTTGTATATACAGATGGTCCCTGAATGGGAAACATCTGACTTACATACAATTCCTAGTTAAGAATGGCAGTGAGATAACAGGAAGTGAGAGGAAACCTACTCCTAGAAATGGAAATTCACTCCTGGAAGAGTTATCCTGGGAAAATCCACTGAAACTTTATCAGCAATCTTTATTTCCATGACAACCTCAAGTTTACAAATTGTCCCAAGGAAAGTGAGGTGAAATCTTCTGAACAGGGGCACAGATAGCAAGACAAATGTTACAGGGGTGTTAACCCTTCCTTATGCTGTCCCAGACTAAAAAAACATGGTTGGATAAACTTGAACATGTTACATGTATTGTCCATCAGCAGACATTGTGTCTCGCTTTTGATTTTCTCAGTAGGACGCCAGAAGTCTATTATACACAACTATGAAAAGTGCAAAGTGATCTCTGGATGAAGCAATACTTCCCTGGAGCACTTTCACAATAGAATTGCCAACAGCCTTGATTAAGCAATTTAGGACAACACTGGTAGTGTAAGAATGGGGGGAAAATAACACTGAGAGAAGTTTTTAGATTTTACAAATATATTGCTTCACCAGTGGAACTATCCTGTTCTATAACTCACAGGCTTTAGACGATATATTCTAATTATACTGAATGGATTTACCACCTTTAAGCACAGATACACTATTAGCATAAGAGAAAGACTAATTACTCTGTTTACATCCACCATAACCCGGACTTCAGAAATAAACCCTATCCTCTCCGCTGACTCTCCTAGCACACAAAGGTCAAAGCAGTACAAGAGATGGGGAGCTTGTTGCTTTCCAAACGTTGCCAGACTGCCATGCTATGACTTTTCACAGTTGAGTAAGTTAGGCAGAGATGATGAAAGTTGCTGTCCAACAAGATCCAGACAGTCACAAGTTCCTTACTCTAATTTATAAGAAAACAATCCTTCTAATTCAAGAGAAGCCAGTTCCCTTCTCCATGATATCTTGCGTGAAAAATACACAGCTTCATCACAGACACAAATGTCACATGCTTTAGTCAGGAGAGAGAAGAATTAAGTTCTGCTGAATCTATTTGCACAGGTAATCATAGTTTTGTAAGGAATACAAGGATCGTGGTTGGCCCAAAACAGTCGCACATAGTCACAACTATGCCTTTGCAAAGGAGAACACACTCCAACTATGCCAGGTGGATGCATCCCAAAGAAGAGATCTGCCGTTGGATACCTTGTAAATGTAAAGGTTTTCCCCTGACATCGAGTCCAGTAGTGGCCGACTCCGGGGGGTTGGTGCCCATCTCCATTTCTAAGCCAAAGAGCCGGCGTTGTCCGTAGACACCTCCAAGGTCATGTGGCTGGCATGACTGCATGGAGCGCCGTTACCTTCCCGCCAGAGTGGTACCTATTGATCTACTCACATTTGCATGTTTTCAAACTGCTAGGTTGGCAGAAGTTGGGACTGACAGCGGGTACTCACGCCGCTACACAGATTCGAACCTGCAGCCTTTTGGTTAGCAAGTTCAGCAGCTCAGAGGTTTAACCCACTGTGCCATCAGGGGCTCCTCTTTGGCAGAAAGAGCTTGTAAAACTACAGCTCTCATAAATCCATAATATTGAGCCATGGCGGCTAAAGTGTTGTCAAACTGCATTAATTCCACAGTGAAGACTGAGGCACACTAGGCAGAAGTAGCTAAATGATCTTTCTCAAGAGAATCCTATAAAATACGTGAGGGACAGGAGACTTGAAGGCAAGCACAGTTTTAGATTTGGGTGATTATAAGGAAGGAAGGAAGGAAGGAAGGAAGGAAGGAAGGAAGGAAGGAAGGAAGGAAGGAAGGAAGGGAGGGAGGGAGGGAGGAAGGTAGGTTACATTAATGTCAATGTTTCTCTCCCTTTTATTATTTTGAAGGCATATTTGGGTGTAGTATCCAAACCTTCAATTCCGTTCAGGAAGGACCCCAGAGCCTCCTTCCCTCCCTCCCTGCCTCCCTCTCCCCGCCCTCCTGGTTACCAAGAAGCGGGTAGAGCTGGTCCCTTGGTCGATGGCTCCCACCAGCGGGCCCATGGCCCCACCCTGGGCCCCCACGGCCGCCGCCATGGCGAGGCGCCCGTCCGCACGGCCCCGGCCCGTTCCCAAGGCGACCCGCACTGACGCTCTCCCCTCGCGCCCGCGCCCTTCCCAATCTCAGGCCGCCGCGCGTGGCTCCTCGACTGAAAGGGGGGCGCTGGCCAACACGCGGCCGAGCCGCAGCCAATCAGCGCGCCCGGGAGGCGGGGACAGAACGGCGACTGGGCGGGGCTAAAGGTTCGGGAATAAGCGAGTGACACTGCGGGCGGGGGGAAAGAGGCTTGGTCACGTGAGGCCGGCCTCTGACGTCACCGGCGTCCAGACCTCCCCAGCTGCGCATTGGCCGCTCTGCCTTGACAGCGGAGCCGGAGGAACGTCGCTGGGAGGGGCCGCCGCAGCAGGTAGTCGCTGACGTAGCCCGTGACGCAAGAGTCGAAGGGGAGGGGGCATTCCTCAGCCCTCTATGATGAAGCAAAGAGGCGCGCCTTCTGTCAATCATCGGGAGAGAGCAAAAAAAAAAAAATCCTTGTGAAATCGGCTGCCCTGGAGACTAGGAGGCGGAACAATGGCTTCAAACTACAAGAAAGGAGATTCCACCTGAACATTAGGAAAAACTTCCTGACTGTGAGAGCCGCTCAGCAGTGGAACTCTCTGCTCAGGAGTGTGACAGCAATTTTCCTGCTTCTTGGTTGGATTGGATTCTATGATAAGGTTGCCTCATCAGTATTCACTGCAGAATCACTGCATTTTGACACCACTTTAATTGCTATGGAGTTGTAGTTTTGCAAGGTCTTTAGCCTTCTTTGCCAGAGTGCTGATGCCTCAACTAACTACCATTCCCGTGCTTCTATAGCATTGAACCGTGGCTGTTAGAATGGCATCAACCTGCATTAATTCAACAGTGTAGACACCCCCTTGGTATTCTCATTCATAAGATTGCCATAACTCAAAGTCAACCACTTTCTCGCCTTTTTTAAAAAACATAATGCCAGTGCCTTCGCCCTTTCCTCTCCCCCAACTGTCTTGAGAAGGGTATCAGGGCAGCCTTGCAATTAGAGCAGTGTCAAACTGAGATAATACTGCAGTGTGAATAGTTCCGAATGGCCTCACTTTAACAGGAATAACTCCATCCCATGGAAGTCTGGTATCTGCAGTTTGCTATGGTTCCAGAACTCTTTGCCAAAGAAGGAGAAAACATTTCACAAAACTACAAATCCCTGAGTTCCGTAGCAGGGCGCCATGGAAGTTAAAGTGGGGTCAGACAGCTATAACTCTGCAGTGTGGATGCAGCCAGGGTCAAGGAATAAGGGATCTTATTTCATAGGTATTTTTATCCTTGTTTCTTCATGTGACAAAACCAATTGCAGTTTATTTTAAAAGCACAAAGCTGAGCAAAGTTTCATAGAATCCTAGAGTTGGCAGAGACCACATGAGCCATCATGCAGGAAAAGTGCAATTAAAGCATCCCTAACAGATGACCATCCAGCCTCTGTTTAAAAGCCTGCAAAAAAGGAGCCTCCACCACACTCTGGGGCAGAGAGTTCCACTGCTGAACAGCTCTCACAGTCAGTGAGTCCTGTAGTTTGACGCCATTGCTCTGAGTCCTAGTCTCCAGGGCAGCAGAACACAAGCCTGCGCCTCTTCCTTATGATATCCTTTCAAATATTTAAACATGAGGATAATGTCTCCTCTAAACCTTCCCTTCTGCAGGCTAAACATCCCCAGCTCTTTAAGCAGCTCCTCATAGGGCATGCTTTACAGATCTTTGATCATTTTAAGAGTATAGCTACTAAAAAGAGTGGGCCTGAGTAATCGGCACACAGATCACAATTTCTGAACAGTATTTTGTAGCAAAAAAGAAAATACTGGAGCATATGTCAAAGTATTTGCTTGTCTTTTGATCTTGTAGGATAAAGAAATTTCTTATTTATTCTAGGAAGTCTACAACAGCAGCATAGATCTTTGGAACGCAGTAGCAGGAAATAACACATGTCTCAGAGATGAAACCGGCTGCGTCCCACAATGATATTGCACAAGACGAGTGCAACCACAGAAAAAATCCTGTTCCCAGACACCACCCAGTTCACTTTTGGTAAAAGATGTACAGCAGCAAGTTTTTGGGGGAATACTGGTATTACAAAAAAAGAAGAAAAAGTCTTCCAGCATTATCTACTATAAACGGCAATGTAAACTATACAGTGTAATCCTATACACATCAACTCAGAATTCATTTCCACTCAGTTTAGTTGGATTTATTTATTTATTTATTATTTAGTTGGATTTGCTCCTAGTAAGTAAATAGGACTGATTTGAGGGTGCAGATCTGTTCCCATTTGCATTTTGGTTTAAGTCCAGTGAACTCAAATTACATTTGGTACTGATTGAATAGACCAGCAGCTCCCAAACTGGGTTCCATGGAACCCCAGGATTCCTCAAAAGCAGGGGTCCTCAGTCTTTTTAAACAGATGGCCAGGTCACAGTCACTCAAACTGTTGGAGGGCCAAATTATGATTTGAAGAAAAAAAAACACGAACGAATTCCTATGCACACTGCACATATTTTATTTGTAGTGCAAAAAAACACTTAAAAACAACACAATAATTAAAATGAAGAACAATTTTAACAAATATAAACTTATTCATATTTCAGTGGGAACTGTGGGCCTGCTTTTGGCTGATGAGATAGGATTGCTGTTGTTGTTGTGTGCTTTCAAGTCATGTCATACTTAGGTTGACCCTGAGTGAGGGCTGGGTAAATGACCTTGGAGTGCTGTATCTGGCCCACGGGCCTCAGTTTGAAGACCCCTGCTCAAAAGCATTGTAGACATTCAATGAAAAAAATCTTTAAAAATCAAATTTAAAATGGATTTTAAATACTACATGAAACTAACTACCATATTTACTTGAGTCTAATTCACCACTGACTCTAGTGGGCACCTCAATTTTCAAAATCCCAAAGGAAAAAAAAAGTATTTACAGTGGCAAAAAGTGCACATCTTGTAATTTGGCTTTAAAAAGTGTGCATTATACTTGATGCCTTTTTATAATCCCTTCACTATAAACAATTGTTAGAACACCGAAACATTCAGAAATCTATCCTGTGAAATGAATCCACTTTAACAATCCTGGCTCAATGTTAAGAAATCATGTAGTTTTACAAGGTCTTGAGCCTTCTCTGCCAAAGATTGCTGATGTCTCACCAAACTACAAATCCCAGCATTGCATACTATTGAGATATGGGAATTAAATTAGAGATGACCTCCCTCACATAGGAGCTTCAGATGCTCCTGAAGCAGCTTCCCCTTTTGCTTTGACTCAAGATAAGATAATGCACACCCTAATTTTGGTGAGGTCATTTAGCCAAAAAAGCTCAGCATTAATTCAACTAATATTTTATTTAAAGTGTCTGTAATAACTATTTTGTGCTACAACTATTTCTCTCAGGTATGTAGTTACTGCCTACACAATTCAGCATTTTCTAGCAAGAGTGATTCATAGGTAGTGGTTTTTTTAATGTTGATTCCATATTTCCTTTTGAATTTTTTTCTCATTCTTGTACAAGTTTTGAGAAAAGACATTTGGGATATTATTCATAAAACATCAAGAGGAAAATATACTCCCAAACTAGACATTATATAGGAAACTGGGAGATGTATTTGAATTAGCATAAAATGATCCAGGGTATATCAGAGTGTGGGGGAGACTCCTTCTCTGGAGGTTTTTAAGCAGAGGCTGGATGGCCATCTGTCAGGAGGGTTTGGATTGTGTCTTCCTGCATGGCAGAAGGAGGCTGGACTGGATGAACTTGGAATGATATCTTCCAATTCTTCAATTTCTGTGATTCTATGATAATTTGACTAAACAAATCTGCATCCTGCTGAAAATAAATAAATAAATAATACGTAACTTATAACCCCCCCCTATCTCTCTGAGGGGACACAGAGCAGTTTCCAGCAAAATAACAACGTGGTAAATATTCAATACCAAGAGCAAACAAATAACAGATCATGCTAAATGTCTTCCGAAGAGTCCTAAGACCAACAATGTTTGGGAGCTGCTGGAAGAGACATGTGGATATGTGTGTGTGTGTATGTGTGCACACACATATATAGCGACATCATGAGAGCAAAATGCCAGCAGCATACCACTACTCTGTGATTCAGTAAAGACATTCTACACCTTTTTTCTCTTTTTAAATGTCACACACTCCAAAGATCTTTTTTTAAATAAATGAATATAAAAAGCTATTCAAAATGCTTGAGATTCTTAAAAATAACCTGCATATTGAGAGAGTGAGAAAAAAAATCTTAATTTTGATTCCAGAGCATGCTGAAAATTTAAAAGCCAAGGGAAAGCTAGGAGTGATGTTCTCTTTCTGTCTGTAATTTTTTTAATGAGGTCACCATGAGGACAATTGCATGCTTAACAAACACAGACAATGGGCTTTTTGTTCATTTTATTTCAGGGAACACACAGTAGATGTACTTAAACATAAGCGTTGGACTTGCCAGGTTGGACAGGTTTCTTTCTGCTACCTGTTAATCCACCTCATCACCTTGAGAGGGGAAAGCATGGGTGAGTGTCCCTTTAAGAGTCGAGAATCGCCCCACTTATATTGTCAGCAGTCCTGTTTCATGTTCTGCCTTCCCATTACACTCACACATGGAAACTTGAGAGCTGGCAATCACAAGTTCAGTATTACTTTTTTGTTTTTAATTAGGAGAAACAACAGTATCAAAAAACCAAGAGATTCCTTGCCCTGCCCACAGCCCCTTACATTAAAGGAGACTGACAGCCATTTAAAACCACTTCTTTCTATGCCCATACGATTAAAGAGACTGCAGACGGTTGGGCAGTGAAACAGGATGGAAAACTTTTGATGGTTCCCATCACACCTGTTTTTTTAGTTGTAAACATGGGAGTAAAGTGATAAGAGTCAGGAGCTCTGAACACAATTGCTGGCCCATGTTTAGTGCTTTCTGCTTTCAGGACATTTCTGCCTCTTTTCAACCCTGGAACATGTGATGAGCTCCATGCCTCTCCATGCTAGAAAAGAGACTGAAGTGTCCTATGAGGGGGAAATTTCTCAGTATGATGAGGTCAATTGCCAGAATTCCCTCCTTTCAGGACACTTCTGCCTCTTTTCAACCATGGAGGGCT